CGGCACGCCGAGGATCTTGTTCTCGTAGAAGATAAAGCTTCCGTTGGATCGTGTCATGTTCACTGGCTCACCGTTGTACCATTTCTCCCAGTAGAGTCCGTTAAGCATTGGCTCCCAGGCAAACTGCAAAGGTTACACATACGCAGGGTTCATAGTAGTAAGACACATGTTGAAATAAGGACTTATAAGACCCTTTCTGGAGGCCAAAATAAGACTTTTGTTACGCGATTTCTGATAGATCACCGACTATTAAAGTACACTAATAATATTTATATATGCAATTGCACAGCAGATTTAATTATTCCGTATTATATATACAACAATTCTTACTCTACGTCGAGAACAGTTTATAAAAAAATAAAGACTATTAAGTACTTTTCTAAGATTTTACCAAAAATAAGTACTAACAAGGGCCCCTTATTTTATTTTTGGCGAAATAAGTACTTATAAGACTTTCGAAGACCCGCTACGAACCCTGATACGTCATACTGTTGTCATACGTCACCAAACACAGTCAATTAGTCATCGTATTATAGCTACATAGTGCCACCGTTTCAGTAGTTGCTACAGTAGTGTTTCCCCTGGCCAAAAAGGTCTGTAAGGTGGCAAATTTTTTTGGTGTGTTTGCGCGTTTCGAGGTCCTGGCCCAGCGAAGGGGGTGCAGGGGCATGCCCCCCGGGGGAAATTTTGAAAAAATGATGCAATTTGGTGCATTCTAAGATATTCTGAACACATTGTGTGAGACTTTAGTTCAATAAAGTGTAGTTTATTGATGGAAGAACAGTGATTTTCGTCAGCGAGGCGGTGTTTTGGACAAATTTATGTGTGGCGGCTGAGAATTTGAGGGAGGCGGCCCGCCTCGCTCGTGTCAATGCAGGGCAAACACTGATCACTGTGTGTGTGACTATGGTGAGGCCAGAGATGAATTCGGGTAGGTCTGGTTGGACTCAGATTAGAATACAGGTGCACCACCAATTTTCCGGAACCCTTGGTTCCGAGGCCTTTCCGGATTATCCGTTTTCCACGTACGCACGCATGCACATACGCACGCACGCACGCACGCACAGAGGAACGGACGGACTCACGCACGCACGCACGCACGCACGCACGCACGCACGCACGCACGCACTCACTCACCCTCCAGCAGTCCATCATCTGGTTCATGCCGCGGTAGTTGTTCCTCGTCTCGTTGAACTGGGAGTCGAGGAACAGCTCTGACAGAACCTTCGTATAGTAGAACATCGTAGAACTGGTCATGCCAAACGTCACTGAAAGGTCACAAAAATGGACACATGAGTGAGGAAAATGAGTGAGTGAGAAGAAGTCAGTTTTAATTGATCAACCATCGACGTACATTATAGAAACGAAGAGTATATATATGGGAGAACTCCCATTATAAAAAAATGTTGACGGACGGACAGACGGACGGACGGACGAACGGACGTACGACGGACGACGACCCATGGCAATAGCTCAGCTTGACGATGTCAAGGTGAGCTAAACACACACACATTATTACTGGTTATTACGGCTCATAGGGTCTATGTCCCCCTGTGTACTGCCGGAACGTACCCTGGACACGGTCCGGTATACCGGAACAAACCCTGGTAACTATCTGATATGGTTAGGGTTAGGGTTAGGGTTAGGGTTAGGGAGTAGGCATACTGGCGTAGGCAAGGTACGGTCCGGCATATTAGATAGTACCAGGGTACGTTCCGGTACAGGGTACGTTCCGGCAGTACCTAGGGAGACATAGACCCTGGCAGCGTTCTTACAGCTATGCTATAAGTACACACACATCACTGCAACATATACACGCAGTAACACGCAGGCATAGTTACACGCTATACGTATAATATTATTAAGTATGCTTTAAGGGCCATCCTTAAAAAATTTTATGATTGCTGTCCTCCGACCGACCCACGAAAATAGCCGCGACCCAAAAGTTTTTTTTGACATTTTGGGTTCCATATTGTTTTTTATTTTTTTTTACATTTTTCATAGTTAAGACTGAAGCACAAAGCATGTGTGGCAAACATGAGGACAGACTTAAAATAACTATTATGCCTCACAAAAAAAGACCCTAACCCTAACCCTACCAACTAAAAAAATCATGGGTCGGGGGACAGCAAACATAGAATTTTTTAAGGATGGCTTTAGTAAGCTGTACTTATACTTATGTATATGTACTTAGTAAAGCATACTTAATAGGCTGTTGTATATCTGTATGGAGCTACTGATCAACCACCACACCACCACACACAAAAATTGTCCTGTCACGAAGGCAAAAATTGTACCCTTCTCAGTAGGAAGAAATCGTTTATGTGACTTGATTGAACTACTTTTGAAAGACAGTATTAGACATTTGAGGAATTACTCTTAATTTATTCAACATTTCAGCACGAACACATGCATGTACGTCTGCTAAAGCTGACTTGCTCAAGTTGCGCAATGAAGACAGAAATTGAATTTCACTCGAAACACGTGCACGCCATTTAGACGTGCACAAAACATCTATAAATGTCTTCCAGATCGCTTTGCAGCATTTAGCAAAAACTATTGATCATTAATTCTTATTTTATATAACGTATTACGTATTTTATACACTTATTATTTTATCTTATTATAAGTAAGAACGGTAAAGTTAACAATCAGGAGCCTCAACACACACGACTGCACAGTGCTGCCACCTGGTGATCAGAACAGTAACTACAGAATGGGACCCGGCAGGGGGGACGACACCGACCGTGTGATGAAGAAGGGTCAGGGAAGGTATGCTAACTTCATTGAAATGCTTCCAATGTTAGTCTAAACACTGAAACTGCGAAACAAACGAACCAGCCTCGGCGATGAAACAGAATTAGCAGCCCTAGCACACTAGACCCAGACCAGCAGCTGTGAGGATCGGATATGTGTATCATAACCATCTAAGTATACTGACTGGCTGCATCCAGTGAATGCCACTAGTAGATAGGTGAACTACAATCAAGCTCTGAATGTGCAGGGGTTCGAAATAACGTCTTTATAGCCGTTATACTGCTCGTTAAAACAAGTACAGGCAACATAGCACAAGCACGAGTAAATTTATTTATGATTTAATTTAACACATAAATCCATTTTAGAGTCATTGCTATTAGCACATAGACTATATAACGGTGCAACGCACTCGCACGTTCGCTATTGCGTGGCGTTGTCATGCGGCAGGTACCTCGGCGATCCATGCAGCGAATACGCTCACCCGCACACCCGCAGCACAAAACCACACACCGCTACCCGCAGCGCAAAACAAAAGGCAGCGCGGTTGCCGGGCGCCGCGTCGCCGTCGTCACGGGCGACGCATCTGCATCGATGCCGGATCGATGCGGGGGTGACCGTGGAAGGCGCAGCCTCTCTCCGTCTCACCCCACCGCATCCCTGCATCCGCATCGCTATGCAACCATCGAGCGATCGGATGCTGGCGCCGCCTGATGCAACACAGTCTACCGCATCCCACAATACGTGGTAGGGCTTCATCATGGGATGCTATCTTCCCCTTCCCATCCACGTGGAGAGAGGAGTAGAGTAGAGTACAGTAGAGTAGAGTAGAGTAAAGTAGAGTAGGGTAGAAGAGAGATAGCGAGAGTAGGTACGAGTAGATCTCTGCTACAACAACAG